CCTTTGGGGAAACCCAGATTGAGAGGGGTGAGGAGGGACACCTAGCTCACTTCAGCCATCCCCCTCATCAAAATTAAGATATGCATCCACTGCCCAGGCTAAAGCCACCTACCTAGACAATGTCAGTGGGAGGATGTGCAGAGATGAGATAAAGGGCTTCAGAACTGAGCTCTGGGCCCTGGGGGGAGAGGAGGAAGCCGGAGGGGCTTCCAGGAGATAATTGACTGGAAAGATGGAAAAAATACCCAGAATAGGGGTCTGTCCCAGAAAATGGTGCTTCTAGAAGGAGTCAACAGCAAATGGCTGGTTTGAGGGCAGCCTGGCACCATGATCATGGGGTTTCTGGAACTTCTCCCTTCCACTTGCTCTGATCCTGGGGCTACCATCCTCCTGGGACCTGGATGGTCAGCTGAGGGCTCATGCATCCAGGCACGTGGGACTCCACGGGTGTTTGTTAAAGGCTAGGGGACCAAAGAGGGAATCAGGAACTGGGCTGAGTCATGTTGCCTGGTGGCTCCCACTCTGGCACCTTCCAAGGAGGGGGCTGGCCAGGCCTCTGTGGAGCCTAGACTCCTGCTGTCTCAACAGTCACCCCTCCACCTGCAGCAGGTATTTTGAGCAAAGCTTCGCAGAACTTCTCTTGAGAAATCTGCTGAGTCTGGAGAGTGAGCTCAGGTCAGCGAAAGAACAGAGACCAAAAGAGAAAAGGAGACCGTGGCCTGGAGTAGGAGGGGCGTGTGGGGGTGAGCAGCTCCTGGGGACTCCAGTCAAGACCCTGCAGGCCTCAGTAATCCAGGGCAGGGGACGTGGTGGGAGGTTCAGGCAACTCTGCTAAATCTTGCTTGCTTCATTGCAAAATAGCAATCCTGTGCTCAGCATACAAGTTATACGTCAGTTTTCTCCCCGGTAAAATGGGAGTATTGGTAAGTCCACTAGGACTGTGTTTTGGAATGGTGAGAAATCTAATATATTTTTCTTTTTTTTTATTGTGGCAATGTATACATACATAAAATGTATGATCTCAACCTTTTTTTTTTTTTTTGAGACAGTCTCGTTATGTTGCCCTTGGTAGAGTGTTGTGGCATCATAGCTCACAGCAACCTCAAACTAAGTGGGCTAAATGATTCTTTTGCCTCAGCCTCCCAAGTAACTGGGACTACAGGTGCCTGCAACAATACTCAGCTGTTTTGTTGTTGTTGTTATTGTTTGGCCCGGGCCAGTGTCCTACTCAACTGAGCCACAGGCGCCGCCCACATTCACACAGTTCTGCAACCGTCACCATCCTTCATCTCTGGAACTTTCATATCCTCCCACACTGAAATTCTGTCCCCCCAAAACACTAATTCTCTGTCCTTTTCCCAGTCCTTGGCACTCCCCATTCTATTTCCTGCCTTTGTGAATCTGATGCCTCTAGGGACCTCCTATGAGTGGAATCACATGCTGTGTGTCCTGTGTCTAGCTAATTTCACTGAGTATCATGTCCTCAGGAGTCATCCATTGTAGTCAGCTTCCTTTTCATGGCCAAGTAATATTGTATATGTGTGGATGGGCCACATTGTATTGATCCATTCATCTGTCAATGCACATGAGTATTTTCCACCTTTTGGTTGTTATGAATCCTGCTGCTATGAACATTTGCTTTTCATTTTATTACAAGTTTATTTCATTCTTCAGTACAGATTCCAAGAAATGAAATTCAATATCTCAATCTCCCCTCTTGGGTTCTCAAACCTGAGGCCCCCATCCCTTTTGGATGTGCAGAGAACACATTCCCCATTTCCAGAGTCACCTGGTGGGACATCAACCCCACCCCCAAGAAGTCACCTCTCAGACACATCCTTCTTGACCCTGGGTCTAAATGGGCCCCCTTTTCCTTTTTTTCTTTTCATATAAAATTACCTCTTTTTTTTTTTTTTTTTCCTGAGACAGAGTCTCACTATGTCACCCTTGGTAGAGTGCCATGGCTTCACAGCTCACAGCAACCTCAAACTCTTGAGCTAAGTGATTCTTTTGTCTCAGTCTCCCAAGTAGCTGGGACTATAGGTGCCCACCACAAGGTTGTAGTTGTCATTGTTGTTTGGCAGGCCTGGGCTGGATTCAAACCCACCACCCTGGTGTATGTGGCCAGCGCCCTAGCTGCTGAGCTATGGGCACTGAGCCTAAAATTACCTTTTTAGGATGCACAATTCAATGTCATTTAGTCCATCTACAATGCTACATAATAACCACCTACCTAGGGCAGCGCCTGTGGCTCAGTGAGTAGGGTACCGGTCCCATATACCAAGGGTGGTGGGTTCAAACCTGGTCCCAGCCAAACTGCAACAAAAAAATAGCTGGGCATTGTGGTGGATGCCTGTAGTCCCAGCTACTCAGGAGGCTGAGGTGAGAGAATCATCTGAGCCCAAGAGCTGGAGGTTGCTGTGAGCTGTGTCGCCATGGCACTCTACCAAGGGTGACAAAGTAAGACTCTGTCTCTAAAAAATAAAACAAAACTGGCTCAGTGCTTGTGGCTCAAGTGGCTAAGGCGCCAGCCACATACACCTAAGGTGGTGGGTTCGAATCCAGCCTGGGCCCACCAAAACAACAATGATGGCTGCAACCAAAAAATAGCCAGGTGTTGTGGTGAGTGCCTATGGTCCCAGCTACTTGGGAAGCTGAGGCAGGAGACTCACTTGAGCCCAGGAGTTGGAGGTTGCTGTGAACTATGATGCCACAGCACTCTACCCAGGGGGACAGCTTGAGGCTTTGTCTCAAAAAACAAAACAAAACAAAACAAAAAATAACCACCTACCTATATCTAAGCCGAAAATACTTGCATCACCCCCAAAAGAGACCCCAAATCTCCCCTAGTGTCTGTGAGAGGGTTTCAAGGACAGCCCAGGGGTGGTGTTGGGGGCATCCTTCCCCAGGGGCCCCCTAAAAGCCTCTGGGTTCAGGCTGGGGTGGGTAGGTCACCCAAGGCAGGGTGGGAATAGAGAGATGCAGGCTGGGACAGGAGGCCCCCCAGGTCTGAAATAGAGGCATAGCTGGGAAGATGCAGCAGGCATCCTAGGGAGAGGGAGCGGAAACAGGAGCTGGTCTTCATGCAGTGGGCATCAGCTGACAGGCAGGCTGTGAGGCTCTGGGCCAGGAATTCTGATTTCTTTCCCCCTGGGAAGCTTCTGGGTGTTCAGCCGGTACAGCCATGTGCTCCGGTACAATGGCACTGCTCCTGAGGGCTGCCAAGACAGGAAGCCTGCAGGGAAACAGTACTATGGGGGCACAGGGATTTTGAACCCATTCTGACCCACTCTGACCTACCCAGCGATTCACAGTCCAGTGATTCTTCAGAGCATTCCCAAGCCTCAGTTTCCCCATCTGAAACACAGGGTTAAGATCAGCACCTACCTCGGGGCCAAGCTACTGCCTAGAAAGGGCCTAGTTGACTCATTCCTACCTCCAAAGCTTTCTCTGAGCCCTGACTTGGTTAAATCTAGGGTCACCTACTTGCAGTCCCTTAAGTTGTTGTCATTTTAGAAGGGCAAGGCTTGATCTGTCTTGGGCACACAGAGCTCAACACAGGTCTGCATACAACAGATGCTTAACAAATACCTGAACTAACACTGGGTTGGAGGTATGCTATCAATCAGGACTGCCTTTCTCCCCCTGAAGATTCTAGGGTGATCCTGCTGTGATGGCCCAGACCCCAGGGCCCCTGAGCTGTTTACCTCTTTGCTGGCTGGACCTGGTTCTCCTTAACAGGGGATCTGTGCTCCCCAGTCTCAGCCATCTAGTCATGCACTGGCCTGGAATCCTTGTCCCTGGCACTGAGACCAAACCTCCCCAAAGTGCTCAAGTCTTGCCCTGTCTAATGCACTAGGGCCCCCATTTGACACACCGAGTAGACATGTGACAACCTGGGATGTGTTTCCTGTCCCTGCTGGTATGGCTGGGTCAGATCCCGAAATCTGGTTTCTGGAAAATTCCAGTCACACGGAGCCTGGCTAACCCCTCCCCATTTGTTGTGTTATGTAACATCTGGGGATTAATACTGTGGTGTCCAGAGGCAGCTGTTTGGATTCGAATCCAGTGCTGTCCTTTCCTGGATTTGTTAAGCAACTTAACCTCCCAGGCTCTCAGTGTGCTCCCCCATAAAATGGGCACAAGGCTGGTTTTTGTGTTCCAGGGTGGCTTAAGGGTGAGGTGAGGCTGGAGCACACTCAGAGAACCCTCCCTGTTCCAAGGGGCCCAAGCCCATTCACTGTTTTCTCACCCAGCTGCCTTTCCCAGGGGTTATTTCAGGGACACCCCAGCTTGGCTGTGTCAGGAGTCACAAAGACTTTGTCCTGTCCCTTCTCACTGTTGAATCTCCTTGATATATGATCCCCCCACCCCTGTGTGGCCCCAGCCCATGGGTGCCCCCAAGCCTCAGCCCTGCCTCATGGTCCCTTCCCCAGGGTCACTCCCCTGCTCACCAGTCCCCAGCCCCTAGCCCCACAGATACTAGGTTTCTCCTTGGCCCTGGGGAGCCACAGCAGTATTCAGAGCAGGAGAAAGTCCTATATTATCAGGTAGGCCCCATGAACCTGCCAGCAGGCAGGACCCAGACACATTCAGGATGATGAGACTCACACTTCAAGCCATTTTGGAAAGAACCCCCAATACCCATTTGCAGAAGAGCCTCCGTTTCCTGCTCAGTAAAATGAGCACCTTGGTTCCCAGAAAGCCGGGAGATGCAGGGTTGAAAGGAGTAACGGGGCTGAGCAGCTGCTTCTGGTGCCCAGTGGTCGCGTGGAGCACTGGCCGGGTCCCTGGAAAACCCCACCGCCCCGCGTCCCCGCACACCCCCGCCCCTCCCGCCCGCTAGCCAGCCTGGAGGACCCGCGCCCCGCCCACTCCCGTCCCTGCAAGCCAATAAAATGCACCGCGGGCGGCGGCGGCGGGTCCAGGAACTGCGGCGCGGTGGTCTCTCCGGAGCTGTGCTGGCTTCGGCTCAGAGTCCTCCACAGGCCCCTGGCGGGATGGAGCCCCGGCCGCGGCGGCCGCACAGGAGCCGCCAAGTAGTGGCCGCCTTCCTGCGCGACCCGAGCTCGGGACGCGTCTATAGACGCGGAAAGCTGATCGGCAAGGTTGGAGCTCCCTCCGGCTCCCTCCCACCCCATATCCTGAGCCTCCGCGAGAGTCAGGGTTAGGGGACAGCGGGGGGCGTGAGCACGGTGGGGTGAGCGCAATCACCTGGCCCCAGGCTTTGGGCTCTGAGTGTGTCGCGTGTCCGTGTGAGTTCGGCATCTGACATTGTACTGGCATGGGTTGGGCTCCGGGCTTGGTGTGGCGGGAACTGGGATTTGGCGCCTGAAGCTATGTGTTGGTGAGTTGGGTGTACAGTGTGTGGGTGTGTGCGTGCCTTTTTAGGGGGCTCTTTTGTGTTGTGTCCAGGTGTGCGTGTGCAAATGTGTTGAGTGTCTGATGTTATACCTCTCTGTGCTTTCCATGTCCCTGCTGATGAATTGTGGGTTGCTATGTTGTACCCCCATGTGTTGTGTTGTGTTTGTGTGTCTATGGGTTGTGTGGATGTGTTGTGTTGTGGATTTGTGTGTCTGTGGGTTGTGTGGATGTGTTGTGTTGTGCATTTGTGTGTCTGTGGGTTGTGTGGATGTGTTGTGTTTGTGTGACTGTCAGTTGCATGCATGTATTGTGTTGTGTATTTATGTGTCTATGGTTTACGTCCATGTGTTATGTTGTGTATTTGTGTGTCTGTGGGGTGTGTCCATGTGTTGTGTTGTTTGTGACCATGTTCTGTGTGTCTGGGTGTCATGTGTCCAGGTATGGGGCTACATGTATCCAAGTATAGTTCTGAGTATGTCCCTGCACCTTCATGTATGCCCAGGAGGGTGGGTGTGAGCTGGGTGTCATTTTGTCTTGGGTGTGTGTATGTGTGTGTGTGAAGAGACCTTGCCACACCAGGGTCCCTGTGCCTCCGTGCACACCACCAGTCTGTGTACCTATTTACACACCTGTGTGCACCTGTCCACTACTCCAGCTAATTTCCTCCCTGCAGGGTGCTTTTAGCCACTGCTACAAGCTGACAGACATGTCCACAAGTGCTGTGTTTGCCCTCAAGGTGGTTCCTCGACGTGGGGCTGGGCATCTGTGCCCAGGGGGGAAGGTAAATCCTCCCATTGGGGGCCCTAGCCCACAGTGTGTCTGTAGAGAAGGCCGAGCTCTTTGGTTCCAGCTATGTCGTGGGGTGTAGGCCACTGGGCCTGGGTCCTACAGGTGCACATGTCAGGGCTGTACTTACAGGTGGAACGTGAGATCACCTTGCATAGCTGCCTGCGACACCGCAATATTGTGGCCTTCCACGGACACTTTGCTGACCGTGACCACGTGTACATGGTGTTGGAGTACTGCAGCCGCCAGGTGCTGGGGGCAAGCAGAGGGCAGAGTAAGGGGACGCTCACTTCATGTCTGCCACCCCATCTATGTTGGCCCCCTGTCCATCTGTATTCAACTGCTTCTTTTTTTTTTTAATTAAATCATAACTATGTACATTAATGCAATTATGGGGTACAGTGTGCTGGTTTTATATACAATTTGATATACTTTCATCAAACTGGTTAACATAGCCTTTACCGCATTTTCTTAGTTATTGTATTAAGACATGTTTCTACACTTAGTAGATTTAACATGTACCCTGTATTCACCTGCTTCTACCTGTACCCACACCATGTTCATTGTGAACCCTCAGCCAAGGCCCAGTCACCAAGGACTGTGCCCGCACATGACAACAGTGTTCATCCTCTACTCCCCATACCCTCTCAGGTTCTCTTGAATCACCTAGGCATGCCTGTACTCATCTGTACCCACCTGCATGGGCCTGTGCCTGTCTCTCCTGGTCACTTGTGCCTGTCCTGCACTCATTCATGCTTGTCTTGGCTCAGTTGAAGTTAGTTGTGCCTTCATAGACCCCCTTGGACTCATTTTGCCCACTTAAGTACACCTGTGCCCAGTGTATGCCCACTTTGTGTTTATCTCTGATCATCTAGCCCTTCCCAAACTCATCTGTGGCCATCTGGGCCCATCTGAACTCAACTTTGCTCACCTGCGCCCATCCCACAATCAGGCATGGCCACTTTGGCAAAACTGAACTTACTTTTCCCTTCTACCCTGGGTCTGCTGGGTGCTGGTGCTGGTGCCTGTCACCTGCAGTCTTTGGCCCACGTGCTGAAGGCACGGCACACTCTGACGGAGCCTGAGGTGCGCTATTACCTGCGAGGCCTGGTCAGTGGCCTTCGCTACCTGCACCAGCGGCACATTGTGCACCGGGACCTGAAACCAAGTGAGTACTGGGGAAGGGCACTTGTCTATGGGCTGGTGGGTGGCTGGGGTACAGCACCTGCCCTCTCACACAGCATCTCTCTTCACTGGCAGGTAATTTCTTTCTTAACAAGAACATGGAGGTGAAGATTGGAGACCTGGGGTTGGCTGCCAGGGTGGGGCCAGGGGGCCACTGCCACAGGTGATAGTGGGAGGCTCTGAGCAGTATGTCTGGGGGACACTGGTGGCCTCAAGTCTGGCATGGGGGCCCCAGCCTTCCTCAGCCCCCTGGTTCTCCCCAGAGTGCTCTGCGGGACCCCAAACTTCCAGGCCCCAGAAGTCATCTCCAGAAATGGGCACTCCTGCCAGTCAGACATCTGGGCTCTGGGCTGCATCATGTGAGTGGGACCCCGGGAGCTGGGCCTAGGGAGAGTGGGCATGTGGGCACATGCGCAGGCAGGTAAGGTTAGGTGTCAGCACACATAGGGAAGATTAAATGGTAGGATGGGCATGTGGATGCATTCACAGAACAGTTGTGGACTGGTGTGCAGAGGTGGGGGCTAGGTGGGAATGTATACCTGCCATCATCTGTGTGCGCAGGTATGAATAGGACATATATGGAGATATGTGTGTGTGAAGAAAGACAAATGTGAGGGTGCACAGAGATGTGGACAAATGCAGAGAGGTGGCCAGTCAGGGCATATGGGGACAGGGATTTGGCATACGCAGGAATAGAGCAGATGTGAGCAAGCATCAGATAGAATTGGAAAGGTGTGTGCAGGTGCAGGCAGATATACAGAAAAGTGTTAGTGTCCACCCAAAAGGGTGTGCAGGTTTGGCCAGGTGCATGTGGGGAAATGGATACAAAGTGTATACCCAGTAAGGCTGTATGCACAGGTGTGGCCAGGCATGCACAGGTAGGTGTGAGCAAAGCCTGGATGCCCTGGTTCCTGCCCCTCACCTGGCTCAGGTACATGGTACTGACTGGCACCCCACCCTTCATGGCGGCACCTCTGTCTGAGATGTACCAGAACATCCGCGATGGCCACTACCCCGAGCCTGCCCACCTGTCACCCAATGCACGCCACCTCATTGCCCGCCTTCTAGCACCCAACCCAGGCGAACGGCCCAGCCTGGACCACCTGCTGGAAGATGACTTCTTCACACAGGTGAGAGGAGCTCCAGTGTTATGTGGGCGGGATGCCCAGGCCCCTCTTGGCCACAGCCAGGCCCCTAAATGTCCCAGGTGCTCAGGAACTGGGTAGCCTAAGCTGGAGGCTGACCACAGACCCCCCCATCCAAAGGGTTTCACTCCAGACCGGCTACCACCCCATTCGTGCCATAGCCCACCCATCTTCACCATCCCCCTGCCTCTGGGCAGGCTCTTCCAGAAGGCAGGTCAGCTGCTGCTGTCCCAGTGCCGGCCACCTTGTGAGTACATCACCCACTACCCCTGCCCACATCCCCAACACTGCCCACCCCTGCCTAACGCCTGTGCTGCAGCCTCCTACACCTGCTCACACCTCACACCTCCTCTGTAACCTCACATCTGTGGCAGAGGAAAATGTGGGAGGCAGGGACTCCCCTCAACATGGCCCAGGCTCTGTGCACAAAGCTTCTGCCTCCCTCAGGCTCCTTCACTCCTAAAGAAGCCTCGGGTCCAAGAGAGGATGGGATGGACCCAGACTCCATGGAGTGGGATAGTGAGGTGAGGAACCAGGTGGGGGATGGGGGTGGTACACATGAAGGATGTCCCTGGTCCCTCCTCCATGCTGTCTTCCCTGAACCCCTGGATGAAGCCTTGACCCCCCCTCTTGGGGGTGCCCAAGCCTAGATGCCTATCCCCAGTCCCATCCAGACTCACTAGGACTTGAACCCCTCTGCATCCATGTCTGTCTCCAACCCTGAGGCCTCGCAAGGTCCAGGCCCCTGGCCAAGGGGCCCTAATCCCATCCATTGTTCATTCTATCACATTTACTGCATGCTTACTGTATGCCTTGAGATACTCTGAGGCTACATCTCAAGAGGAAAACAGTTCCTCTGTGTGCTGAGTTTGCCAAGGCAGAGAGCAGGTCACAGAGGGGTCTTGGAGGAAAGGCCGCCCCTCACCTCTGCTGCTCCCTGCTCAGGTCTCCCTGTCCAAGAAGGAGGCTCCCTGCCCTGAGGCCCCTATCCATGTAATCACACAGGGGATCCTCCAGAGTGACCCAGCAGGTAAGTCAACCATTGGGCTATGGAGTGAGGATCCAGAACTTAGCGGCAAATGTTGTACCTTGCTAGGGTCACACCCCCTCTCCTGGCCTCAATTTTCCCAGCTATAAAAGGAGAATGATAACCAGAATTCTTCTGGGTTAAAATGAGATTTTTCTGGATGTTACAGTCCAGAGAGGGACTGATTGGAGAGGCCCCTCTTGGTGGGAGCTCAAGCCTGTTTTCCCCCACCCCGACAGAATCTGTTTCCACAGAGCCAGAGGGGAGCCAGAAGTTGGAGGTGGAGGTGGCCATCAGAAACCTGCAGCTCTGCCTGGATGCTGGCCCCTCAGGTAGGAGACTCAAGCTCCCCCAGGGGTCGTCCTTTGTTTTAGTATCTAAGGAAAATCACCTTTGCCCCATCCAGGGCTCTCCTGGTTGTTTCTGGGCTTCCTTGGGAGCAAGGGATCCTTTTATTTATTTATTTATTTTTTTGAGACAGAGCCTCAAGCTATCACCCTGAGTAGAGTGCTGTGGCATCACAGCTCACAGCAACCTTCACCTGCTGGGTTAAGCGATTCTCCTGCCTCCACCTCCCAAGTAGCTGAGACCACAAGCACCCCCACAACGCCCAGCTATTTTTTGGTTGCAGCCATCGTTGTTTGGTGGGCCCAGGCTGAATTCAAACCTGCCAGCTCAGGTGTATGTGGCTGGTGCCTTAGCCACTTGAGCCACAGGCACCGAGCCAAGGGATCCTTTTTTTGTAGGCAGGGTCTTCCTCTGTCCCCCAGACTGAAGTGCAATGGGCGTGATCATAGCTCACTGCAGTCTTAAACTTCTGGGCTCAAGGGATCCTCCTGCCTCAGCCTCACAGGGGGCTGCCACCACGCCCAGGTAATTTTTCTATTTTTTGTAGAGAGAGGGTCTCAGTATGTTCTCCAGGCTGGTCTTGAACTCCTGGGCTTAAGTCATTTTCCCACCCTGGCCTCCCAAATTACTGGGATTATAGGCATAAGCCACTGCATCTGGTCCCCAAATTTTTATATAAAATAAAATACAGCCTTATAGTGTTTTTGATATTGTAATTATTTCAGAATTACTTGTTCCCAGAGGCACACCACAATCTCAGGTCCTCTTTCTGCAAGGAAACGTTAGTTGACTTTTCCTTGTAGTTTTTGGTTTCTCCTCTGCCTACTCATCCACCATGAAAGCCCGCAGGCCTCAGCCTAGTCCTGTCTGGGGCTACTGGGCCCCACCCTGATCCCAGACTCAGCTCACTTCATCTTTGCACCCAGCCATACGGAACCCCCCAGGAGAGCAGCAGCCAGTCATCTGGGCCCTCAAGTGGGTGGATTATTCCAGCAAGTATGGCTTTGGCTACCAGCTGTCAGATGGGAGCAGCGGTGTTCTGCTTCGGGATGGCACCCACATGGCCCTGCGCTCCCCAGGAGGGTAAGTTGTGGGGCTTTTGTCCACACCTGCAGGTGCTCACTGTCTGGTAAGGGAGAATAATGCTAAACAAATGGGTGTTTAAGTGCTTTTTTTTTGTAGGAAATGAACCAAGTGAGGGGGCAGATTTGGGAGGAGGCAAATCTTCATGGGATAGATGGGAAAGAGGGACTCTGAGGAAGTAATGTAAATCACAAAAAGGAGCCTGTTGGGAATAGCATTTAAGACAAAGGGAACAGCGTATCCAAAGGTGGGTCCCAAGGTGGGACTGAGTGTGGCAAGTTAGAGAACAGTGAAGAAAACAGAGGGAGCAAGGGGAAGACAGGGAGGATGTGATGTCAGAGAGCCTCCTGGGCCACTGTAGGGCTTGGGCCCCAAGCGGAGGGGGCTCACTCAGGTTTTTAATGACATCTTTCTAGCAGAAGTGACCCAGGGTGGCTCGGCACCTGTGGCTCAAGTGGCTAAGGCACCAGCCACATACACCTAAGGTGGCAGGTTCGAATCCAGCCCAGGACTGTCAAACAACAATGACGGCTGCCACCAAAAAATAGCCAGGCATTGTGGTGGGCACCTGTGGTTCCAGCTACTTGGGAGGTGGAGGCAGAAGACTCGCTTGAATCCAGGAGTTGGAGGTTGCTGTGAGCTGTGATGCTACAGCAGTCTACCCGGGGGGACAGCTTGAGGCTCTGCTCTGTTTCAAAAAAAAAAAAAAAAAGTGACCCAGGGGACCAGCTGGGAGGTGACTGGACCAGTTTGGCAGACAATGGTGGTGACCTGGGATGAGGCATACTAGAGTCTGAACTGGAAGGCGGGAAGAATGGAGCAGCTATCAACTAAGATAGGGAGATGGCAGAAAGGACACATTGAGAGACGAGGGCTAGACATATGGACAGAGTGGTTAGTGTCAGTGTAGAGTTGGTCTTTAAAGCCACCATTTGAGGGGGTGTGATTGGGCAGGAAGGTGTCCACAGGAATGGGATGCCCAGAATAGAGGCCCTGGCAACAGGCACTGTCCTGTGCCCTGGCCATAGCCAAGTCTGCTACATGCCCGACCGCGGGAAACTGGAGACCTTCACCCTGAGGGATGTGCCGAGGCTGCTGGGGACCAAGCTGGCCGTGCTGCGGCTCTTCGCCTGCCACATGCAGCAGCAGCTGAGAAAGGTGGGGGCCGGGCCAGGTGATGCTGGGAGGTGGGGACCACCCTGACACCCCCCACCTGAGTGACTTTGGGGCTGAGTCTGTCTGCAGGAGGGAGCCCCGCCCATGCCCACACTGCCAGCCAGGCCCAGCCTCTGCCTACTGCGCTTCTTGGCATCCAAACAAGCCCTGCTGCTGCTCTTCAACAATGGGACAGTGCAGGTGAGCCAGCCCTGAACCCAAGGGTTGAAGGGCAGGGGCCTGCCCCTCCTAGGCTATGACAGAGCAGGCTCTGTGGAGAACCCCAGGAGACATTCCTGTCCTTAAAAGAAAACAACTGTTGGGTTCGAAATACAAAAACTGCAACATCAAAAATAAATGGCATGGCCAGGCACAGTGGCTCACGTCTATAATCCTAGCACTCTGGGAGACCAAGGAAGGTGGATTGCTTGAGCTCAGGTTTGAGACCAGCCTGAGCAAGAGTGAGACCTCATCTCTAAAAAAGCCAGGCATTGTGGCGGGCGCCTGTAGTCCCAGCTACTTGGGAGGCGGAGGCAGGAGAATCCCTTAAGCCGAAGAGTTTGAGGTTGCTGTGAAATATGATGCCACAACACTCTAACCAGGGCAAAGTGAAACTTTGTCTCAAAAAAAAAAAAAAAAAAGAAGAAGAAGAAAAGAAAAGAAAGCCTGGCATCTGTAGCTCAGTGGCTGGGGTGCCAGCCATATACACCAGAGCTGGCAGGTTCAAACTCAGCCCAGGCCTGCCAAACAGCAATGACAACTACAACCAAAAAATAGCTAGGCGTTGTGGTGGGCACCTGTAGTCCCAGCTACTTGGAGGCTGAGGCAAGAGAATCGCTTAAGCCCAAGAGTTTGAGGTTGCTGTGAGCTGTAACACCACAGCACTGTACCCAGGGCAACAGCTTGAGACTCTGTCTCAAAAAAAAAAAAAAAAAAGCAAGCAAGAAAGAAAAAAGAAATGGCATGTTTCAGTGATGGCAAAATGTCCTCTTTAGTCTTTGTCCTGTGTGGTTCAGTGGAGCAACTGTAAAAATATAATTTCAGTGAAAAATGGTTTTCAGGTTAAAGTTGTCCTGAGCAGTGGTGGTAAAATCACAGCCAGTCCTACAACATAGTTCAGAAGCAGTATAATATGTGACAGTTTTCTATATCATTATTAGTATCATCTTAACAGTATAAAAACACCACTATGGGCAGATAGGGATGTGCATCTGGGGTCTCTAGTTAAAAAGCGTTATCTTCAGGCCAGGTGAGGTGATACACACCTATAATCCCAGCAATTTGGGAAGCTAAGGTGGAAGGATCACATGAAGCCAGGAGTTTGAGACTAGACTGTGCAACATAGCAAGACCTGTCTCTACAAAAAACAGAAAAATTAGCCAGGCATGGAGGTGCATGCCTGTAGTCCCTGCTGCTGGGTGGCTGAAGCAGGAGGATCACTTACGCCCAGGAGTTCAAGGCCAGGGTGAGCTATGACCACACCACTGCTCTTCACCTGGTGACAGAGAACCTGTCTCAAAAAAAAAAACAAAAATCAAAAAACAAAACAAAAACAGAGAGCAAGTATTGTCTTCACAAGACCCTGCTTGGCAGCTGTAGAGATGGATACTCTACAGTGAGAGGGATATATCCCCAGTTTCATGGGCTTAAGAGTTTAGGGGTCTTTGGGTGACTGTGGACAGGGAAGCACCCATCTGAGCCTCAGTTTCTCCAACTGTACAGTATAGCACTCAGCCTCTACACCCTGAATTCTTTTTTTTTTTTTTTAAGAGACAGAGTCTCATTTCATCACCCTTGGTAGAGTGCTTTGGCATCACATCTCACAGCAACCTCCAACTCCTGGGCCTAAGCGATTCTCTTGCCTCAGCTTCCCAAGAAGCTGGACCACAGGTGCCTACCACATTGCCTGGCTATTTTTTTGTTGCAGTTTGGCTGGGGCCAGGTTTGAACCCGCCACCCTCGGTATATGGGGCTGGCGCCCTACTCACTGAGGCACAGTGCTGCCCTAGACCTTGAATTCTACTGGCTCAGGGCAGGGGCTCTTGGTCTAATGTCTGCATGCCCTCTTCACTAAAGGGCTAGAGCTGGGGCAGAGGACAGGAGGACACATCTCCCTTGACTGTGGCTTCCCACCCTTGGCAGGTCAGCTTGACTGGAGTCCAGGCCCACCTGGTACTGAGTGGTGAGGGTGAGGAGTTGTTGCTCACCCACTGGGAGCAGGGCCACCCTGGCACCTCCTACTCCCTGGGCATCCTGCGGAGCCACGGCTGCACCTTGGCCACCAGACAGCTCCTTCACCATGCTCTCTGTATGCTGCAGAGCATCTAGTGCCCCTGAGGGTCACAGTGGACCTCTGCATGATGGTACCAGGGACCCAGACTCCATTTCTATTCCTGTTGCTCCTCCAGAGGGAGTATCCTTGGGGAGAGCTGGTGGGCATGCAGGGGGCATGGAGAGTGTGGATCACTGCCTTGGCATAACTGTCCAACCAGGACTTTTGGTGGGCTTTGTTTCTTTTCCATTAAAGAAAACTTGCTGTAGAGATTGCCATCTGCCTCTCTTTGGGGGAAAGAGTTTGAGGAGCTTCGGCAAAGGGGCCGACTCTGGGTCTCCCGATCCCATTGCTCTTTGTGGCAGAAATGGGTGAGATTTTCACCAATACAGAAATTAGTACCAGACATGGGTTCTTCTGTAACCCCAAATCTAAAATATGGGACATTAATTCAAAGGATGGACAGGGGGCAAACCAGTGCCAGAGCTGGGTAGATGGGAGCCATGCTATGCAAAATGATTGGCAAAACTGTTACCTGAGATGACCTAGGGAGTAGACAGTGTGTCTGTGAGTCTGGCCACTCTGGGCTGATTATCATGGACGAGATGTTATTCAAAAGAGGTGAACTGGTCAGCAAGCACATAGACATTACAGAAGTCGGGAATTTGAGTCTTAGAAATTGGAAAAAGCATGTGCTTCTCACGTGGATGGTTGGAGATGTGATTGTGGAGTCTTCAGGTTACATGTGCCTGGTGAAGCTTCCCAGTAGAAGAAAGTAACTAGGGCAGGTTGGGAACATCCTGCCACCTCTGCCGACTTTCTTACCCGGTGGGTATTACACCCTCCTGAGACGGGAGGCTCAGGCCCATCTCACCTCTGGACATTTGTGTCTTTCTACTTCTGGAAGGGGACACAGGCCCCATGGGGTCACCCCAGCACCTGGGGCGAGGCAGGAGTCATTCCTCAAGCTTCACACTCACAGCCTGGCACAAGCATGATTGGGGGACACCAGGAAGGGAATGAGGCACTGGGAGTGGCTGAACACGGAGAAGCAGGAATCTGAATGAGAACAAAGTGAGAATGCTCATGGCAGCAGTGTTTGTGCTACTGAAAAAGTTGGTCACAGCCTAAATGTTCAGTGGTGGGGGACTCAGTGAATAAAATATCTGGGCTCATGCCTGTAGTCCCAGCACTTTGGGAGGCCAAGGCTGGAAGATCACTTGCGGCTAAGAGTTTGAAATCAGCCTGAGCAATACAGCAAGACCCTCTTTGTCTCAGGAAAAAATACAAAAACAAACAACAACAACAAATAACTAGCCATGCTTCTTGGGGATGTGTGAGGGGAAAGTCTGAAGACACACAGAGAGATGTTAGGGGAGCCTAGGGGTTGGAGAAAAGGATGGAAATGTCATCATCACTAGCCCTAGGACTTGAGGGCCCCTAAGGCACTCAAGGTCACAGCTCTGTGTAGGTCTTCTGGGCTGTGTGCTCAGGGGTCTGTTTGGGAGCCCAGAGGTAAAATCTACACTGGAGAGTGTACTGGTCTCAGGGTGAGGAGACTCGGGCTCAAGTCCCAGCTTTGCCACTTATAGGCACATCCAGGCCTCAGTTTCCCCACTTGTTCAAAAGGCTTATGTTCTCTCTGGGATCCCTCCCAGCCGTGAGATTCTATGTAAAGTTCCAATTCAAAGTTCCCTTAGCAGCCCCAGGGAACTTACTGGAAAAGAAGGGTGACTCATAATGTAAATGCCACCCTAGAAAAAAGATGTTTCCACCTCCCCTGACCCAAAAGAAAAAAAATATATGAATGTATTTGTATAAGAGACCCTCATGGAAATGTGCTCAAATGGATATTTATTGACATCAAGGAATTACTGTTAAGTTTTTTAAGCATGTAACATTGTAATATTGTTTTCAAAATGCTCTTATCCTGGAGAGCCGTTGTTTTCAAAGGAAGGTGGGGAGATGTGATTCTGCTCCCCCAGAAGACCTTGGGAGATGTCTAGGGACATCTGTGGTTGTCACACTAGGAAACACTCCCTGCATGGGGTGGGTGGAGGTCAGGAACGCTGCTCAACACCTGCAGTGCCCCGGGGGAGACCCTGGTTTGCAGACAGGAAGTGAAATATGTATAGACATGATACTTAATTCTAAGCATATTTCCTCAATAGTCATTAAAAAAATGGCATTGAAAAATGACACTCCTGGCTCAGCGCCTGTGGCTCAAGTGGCTAAGGCACCAGCCACATATACCTAAGGTGGCGGGTTCGAATCCAGCCCAGGCCTGCCAAAACAACAATGATGGCTGCAACCAAAAAATAGTGGGGCGTTGTGGTGGGCGCCTGGGGTCCCAGCTACTTGGGAGGTGGAGGCAGGAGACTCGCTTGAGCCTAGGAGTTAGAGGTTGCTGTGAGCTGTGATGCCACGGCACTCTACCCAGGGGGATAGCTTGAGGCTCTGTCTCAAGAAAAAAAAAAAAAAGAAAAATGACATTCCTGGGAGAAGCAGCACATTCCTGTGCTCACACAGCCCCTCACACACAGCAAGAGCCCATGAATGTCTTCAAAATGTCCTCCCACTGAGGTGGGGGAGGCCCTTCTCAGCCCTGCCAGGTACCCCATGTCACCCAGCAAGTCAGAGACGCCCTCCCCATGGCATTCTCCCTTTGATCTATTTCTTGTCAATCCCAAAAGTAAAAAGTGACGCTGTCTCTTTGTAACAAGATCTCAGCCTAACCAAATCAAAGTCGCAGAGGCCACCACCTCCTGTCCCAGGTCCGTTCCATTTCTGGGGAGGTCATGGGGTCACCTTGTTTTCCCTGTCTATGTACATGACTTTTTGTTCCTGAAAAGAATAACTGGAATAACCGGCGTCCCAGCTCCACCCAGCCATGCTCCTGGATGAGTTTGAGCATCTGTGTGGACAGACCCCGGGCATTTCCTCTTATGGAATGAGGGATGAAGAAAAACTGGGGTTTGCGGTTGGGGAGGAAATGGTGGCCCAAACAGACATGGTGGCCAGAGGTGGGAGTAGAGCAAAAACAGACATCCAAGGGTGGTGGGAGAGAACCTGGGAGGTCAAAGGAGGTCACATGTCCAGTGTGGTCAGGCCTGGGAGGAGAGAGCACCCTGCAGGAAGAATGTGAAGAGTTCTACGGAGCTGGGACAGGGGACTGCAAGCAGGAGAGGAACCACAGAGAGGGAGCACTCACAGGGCACGTGAATTATTTTAATAATTGGGCTGAACGTCACCATTTTGAATTGAACAATTCAGTGGCATTTGATACATCGGAAAATGCTGTGTAACCATTACCTCTCTCTAGTTTCAAAACTTTCATCATCTCATAAAAATGCCAAGTCCGCCTTAGCTGCCACCCCTAGCCCTTCCCCAGTCCCTGGGGACCACAAATCCACTTCCTGTCTCTGGATCTGCCTGTTCTGGACATTTCATATAAATGAAATCTCACACTGGATGTCCTTCTGTGTCTGGCTTCTTTCACGGAGCATAATATCCTCAAGGTCTGTCTACTTTGTGGCCTGTGCCAGAGCTTCCTTCCTTTACATGACGGAGTGATATTCTAGGGTGTGGATGGACCACTCCTCTACTGATGGTATCATTTGGTTTCAAATAACAGAAAGCACCTTACTAATTGTTATGGGCCAAATGAAGTATTGGCTTCTGATACTGAAGTGTTCAAAAGAAGAGATGGTTGCCGGTAAGGCTAGATCTGGTCTCAGTGAAGAATAAGGACTCCCCCTGCTTCTTCCTTCACTTTTGTACTCCCATCCTTTGCTTTGGCTTCACTCTTGAGTAAATTCTTGTGGCATGGTGGCAAAAATCCACTGGCATGGTCCTGCCCCCTGGTATATATTCATGGCCCCCTACACTGAATAAGACTGACCTATATAACCAATAGGATATCAGAAGTGACAGTATGTCCTGAGTTCAGGTCCTGAAAGATGTCTTAGCCAGGCTTGCTGGCTCACACCCATAATCCCAGCATTTTGAGAGGCTGATGCTTGAGGCCAGGAGTTGGAGACCAGCCTGGGCAACATATGAAGACCCCATCTCTACAAAAGGTTTTTTCAAGGCAGAGTCTCACTCTCCCACCCTGGGTAAAGTGCCATGGCATCATAGTTCACAGCAACCTTGGGCAACTTGAGCCCAAGAGACCCTCTTGCCTCAGTCTCCCAAGTAGCTGGGATTATAGGTACCAGCCACCATGCCTAGCTAGTTTTTTCTATTTTTAGTAGAGTTGGGTTTCACTTTTGCTCAGGCTAGTGTTGAACTCCTGGCCTCAAGCAATCCACCCACTTCGGTCTCCCAGAGTGCTAGGATTACAGGTCTGAGCCACCACAACAAGCCTACAAAATTTTTTTGTAATATCCTAGGGCTCAGTGCCTATAGCACAGTGGTTACGGCGCCAGCCACATACATAGAACCTGGTAGGTTTGAACCCGGCCTTGGGCAGCTAACCAACAATGACAACTGCAACAACAACAACAACAACAGCAACAACAAATAGCCAGGCGTTGTGGTGGGTGCCTGTAGTCCCAGCTACTTGGAAGGCTGAGGCAAAGAGTTGCTTGAGCTCAAGAGTTTGATGTTGCTGTGAGCTGTGACGCCACGACATTTCTATATTCTACTGAGGGCAACATAGCGAGACTGTCTCAAAAAAAAAAAAAAAAAAAAGATAGCCTAAAAGAAGAGAAACTTTGGTTTAACATTGACACATTTGTTCACTTTCCCACACTGACAATCATAGATTAGTATGCCATGATAATGAGTGGCAACTTTTTATATCTTCTCAGTGTGGTGGCATCCCATAGTGAGTTTCAATATATATATATATTTTTTTTGAGTCAGGGTCTCACTCTGTCACACAGGCTGCAGCACAGTGGCATCATCATAGTTCACTGCAACTATGCTCAAACTCCTATGCTCAGGTGATCCTCCTGCCTCAGCCTCCCGAGTAGCTGGCATGCATCATCATACTCGATTAATTTTTCTATTTTTTGTGGAGTTAGAGTCTTGCTCTTGCCCAGTCTGCTCTAGA